GGTCAAGTTTTAAGTACGAGTGATGTAATAATGCATTCCGTTACACCGATTTTACAGTGAAATCGTGCCTCTTACTTTGTAGACGTGTGTTAAGAAATATGGTCGTGCAGTTCTTGATTTTTAAATTACAGATTGTTGTTTCATTTGACATTACTTATAAATTAATAGAAATACATCAATACTATGGAGGAAAACCATGTAGTTAAATCCAAACACGTTTATTTGATGTTTAAAGTTTAATGCCAAAGATATTATTATGCACTCGGCCATGTGAATGTCAAGTGTAGATCAAGGTTTAATAGCTGCTTTTGTCTCTTATTTTTATTCTTCTTTATCTCTTATTCTTAATTCTTTTTTATCTAATAAAATATTGATAATTGATTAATTTAAATAATTTTTATATTATATACTTTCACAATAATATTGATTTATATTTTTTTTAATAGAATTATTCCTTCAATTTTGTTCAGTTTTGTTAATTCAAGTTATGTATATCCAATTGAAATATTTTATTTATAAACATAGATTTTAGATATAAATTTTTGTTAATATTAAAGAAAATTAAAAAATAGTAAAATACAAAAGAAAAAAGTTGAAAGTTTCATTCAAGAAACTCGTGTAATCATATATGATTAGTCTTTTGAAATTTTACAATAAAATATATTTCATTATTGTTACTTCTTTTAAAATTGTATGATTATTTTTATATCGTTATTTCTATGATCTTCTCTCATTGATATTTTTACTTGAAAATTAATAATATAATTTTAGATATAAACTCAATTTTCTTTCAGTAAGTGAAATCTTGTTATGTTTATCTTTAATGCTTTGTTAAGCATAATGAAATGCACTTTCTTTCATTACATTTCTTTAATATCATGTATATTTTAATATATAATCTTCCGCATTTCTTTTTCTTCCACCGTAAATGATGTTTATCCTTCCGTTTTTTATTATCATTATTTGCTCTAATCTTGAATAAACAGAAAACATAGAATTGATTAATATTTAAAAATCAATATATATCATAATTATTTTTAAATAATATCAAAGAAGCAAAGATATTGTTTGAAAAATTAGATTGTTTTAACTAAAAATAGTTTAGAATTATTGAAACTCAAATAAGTAATTTATAAGGATTATCCCTTATTGATTTAATTTCTGTAATCCTTGTCCATTAATCATTCATTATTAAAAATAAATCATTTTTAAAAAATTGGTTTTACCTCAATAATGATCATTGAAAATCGTAATAATAAATAATAATAAATTTTAACACATAACAATTTTAATTATTTTGATTTAATTATATCATTATATAATTAAATTAATTATATCATTATATAATTCTTTTAAAAATTAAAATGAATATTTATTTTTTATAATAGTAATTCTAGAAAATAAAAAAGGAATAAAAAGTAAAATACGAAAGATTATAATAAAAACTTATCTTAAAAAAAAGAGTTAATTATAGTTTTAACGTTTATCAAACAGAATGATCTAATTATATCTCTGCTGACCCTTTTTCCAATGTCAGGAGCTTTTATTGTTAGTATCTCATCAATCATTCTAATCAGATTCGTAAAAATATCGTGACGTCGTGATATGAATACTTCTCTGATAAAAATAGCAAGCATCTAACTGCTTCATCTAAAAATTGATAATTCGAATTAATTATATCAGATAACTACAAGAGATCTTGCGTATAAAAGTATTTTATGATATTCTGGGGAAATAATTAATTTAATATTCATATTCCTAAAGTCTCTATCTAAAATTAAAATGGAAATAAACATTTATTATATTAATTATTATTTTTCTTAAGTAGTAATTTCTTTTTCGTATTAATTTTCGTCATTTTAAAAAACAATTTCTATTAATGCTAAATATAATTTGTTTGAAAATATTTAGATTGATAATTTTTTTTAATAATAATAATTATCGTAATGTGAAATCATAAACTATATTTATCTTCGCTTATCTTCGCTTGTCCCATAATCGTTAGAATTTTATTTTTGTCCAGAAAAGTACAGTATCTGCCATCTATAGCCGAAAATTAAAACACAACTGTTAGACTTCAATTCATTTCTAGCTCTTGATAAACATCATTTTTGTAATTATTTCTTTTCTTACGCATTAAAAATTTCAAAGTATTAAAATAATATTCGTACCAATTTTTCTACGTTTATCAAAATTTCACTAGAAAAGAAATTTTTAAAATTATTAATAAAGAGAATGCACAAAAAGAAAGTTCATATTTTTATAAATGTGATTAAAAATATCGAATCTAAAATAATGATTTCATCACATTAAAGTTTACCACTAGCTATATTATCGATTTTGCATATATATTTGCGTCTTGTTTCCTATAAATATTTCCTATAAATGCTTCAGAGGGCTATTTTAAAATTGAGCATACCTCTAACAAGAATTTTTGAGGTGGATGCAATGCATTCGCGGCACGTATGTATCAGAGAAGCAGCATCGATCGTTATGCAAGAATGGCGCCGATTTGACTCTCTTTATTTAAATTAATTTCCTCGTTTGTTTCGGTATCACCCATTGTATGGTTATGCCTTTCGCCATCTAAAGATAAACCTTCGTTATAAACGTCGCATTCTCTTATCATCGTACGAATACGGATGATGTACGCTTTGCATTCGCAAAGATGATCTCTCACGTTATCGGCGGGCATTAAAAATAGCCTGTAACGATTCAAAACATTTCAATTTGGTCTTTTCATCGATAATTATAATCTTCTTTCAAAGAATCGTGGATGGACGAATTGTGATCGTGTCACAGAGGGGTTCCATACACCCGCAATTATTCTATCTATTGATTTTATGATCCGGTTGTGAACAGAAAAAGAGAAGCAAAAAGTCGGTGGTAAATTATAGTTACTCCAATTGTTCGATTTCGTGTTCTCTTTGATACACATCGTATGTAATAATAAATTGTTTGAAATGTATATATAATTTTGATTTAATATATAGAAAGTTCGTTTTCGTCTCTTCTTTCAAGAATATCTGGTTCTCTAAACAGTTAATTAATTATCTATGTCAATTCATGTTCTGAATATTAAGTTGTATTTCACACGAACGAATTACAAATTTGCCTTTGTATTAATTTTATGGATTTTCATCAAATAATAATTTCCATTCCTTATGAATGATATACATAAGTATCATTGTTTTGAAATATCTTATAGATGTTATACAATTGAAATTTCAATTCGATCAATAAGATGAATAATTACAATTTTTTAATCTGAATCAAAGTCGATCAGAAGGGTTCATAGAACTCTCGATGGCTTAATGATTTTTATATGCACAATTTAATCAGTGTAATTACTCTGTTCAACATTCAAGCTGATTTCTTAGAGCATACGGCCGCAATTCGTTGACGGTCTTCGTTGATAGCGCAAGAAAGAAAAACCTTCTTGCGAATGATCATAACACTAACTCCTCTGTCCGACATTTAATTAACTCCGTTTTGCCGTACTCAGAAACGAAACTGTAAACCATCATTATATTTAGTATTAAAAAATTCTTTAAAGAATATCTGCTTTTCTTGGAAATGAATGAAACCTTATAAAAGATTTAATAAAGTAGAAACAAAAATCATATTAATGATACTTAAATAAAAGTTAAGCAAAACTATTAACCATCATAAAAAAATAAATTTATAAAATATTTTGAAGCGTTAATTATTAACAAAATTTAAAAATTGTGTATAGAAATACGTATCATAATATTTAACCTATTATAATGTTTGTGTCCAGTTAAGTCTCTAGTTAATTGGATAAAAAAGACATCAATTATTGGTCCATCTTGGGGAACGTAATAGTTCATTCACCTCGAGATAATTCGATGAACTCGTAGAGACCTCTATGCAACGACCTGTTTTCTATTGATATTTTTTTTTTCTCTTGCATTTTTCTTTTATATTTGAAGATGTAACGAGTCGTGTGAATCGTAATAATAAAAAAAATCATTTCTGTAAAATTTGATATACATATAAATCACAATATCAAAGAAATTAAAGAATAAATACTTATACAAAGAGAAAATAATATCATTAAAATTGCTAATTAAAATTATTACATACCTGAAAACCGAGCCAAAAAAATCAGGATAATTGAAAATAAAATAATTTGCTCATTGTATTATCGTTTCTATCGAATTGCATTACAAGTCCTGACTAGTCCTAATAAGTACATTGTCATTCTCTTATTGAATTCATGTCCTTTGTGTCCTGCATCCTTGAGAGAAGTGTGCACGCTTAGCACACGCATCGAACGTTTATCGTTGTCGTGCTTGAAATTATTTATCAACGCGAATGTGCCGTGTTGTATACGAAAAATATATGTACGATGCATTATTTATCGAATACCTGCATACCGACGAAATTCTGTTACCAAACCGTGTTGCTGGAGGATTGTTCCAAATTCTATAACTATTTCTGCATCACATGTGAATTATCTGTAAAATAAAAGATTTTATTATATTAATAAGATATTTAATAAGATCTAGACTTAATTATAACTTTATCTTAATGTAATGGATTAAATCATCATCATATAGTAAATCATCCTCTTTAATCCTCTTATTATAATCCTCTTAAATGTTCGATTTTATATTTAAAAATTTCTTTATTATTATTATGTAATATTTTATAAATTATATAATATTTTATATTCAGGCAAAATTTCAATTTATATTCATCATACAATAATATTCATTTTTCAATAGTTTTATTTCATACTTTAAATTATATACTCTCTTACATATCTATTATTATTATTATATTTCTATGCATGTTTTTATTATCCACGTATTTCATTATTGTTTCTTTCTTACCTTAATTCGAAGTTTGCATTCATTTATTCCAAAGATATCCCAAACGAAGTTGAATGTCTTGCAATGGAGGAAGTTCATCGTCATTAACAGTGTCTCGAAGGTATGGCGCCAAATAGACGCCGACTTTAAAATACGGCGCATGCGTACTGGCAAGGGTTCATCGATTGTAAACAAAACCGGAGGCGACCGCGTGGTTTCGATCAGTGTGGCGACGACTCTCGCGATCGACGGAAGTGGAGAAGTTGTTTTTTTTCTTCACTTTTTCCATATATTCGATTGGAGGAAATCGCAAGTTCGCACCGTTAATTCTCCATCGATATCTTCTCCTGGAAAGAGAAGAGAACGAGAAGAACGTGTAGAGCTGTTGAAACAAAGACGATTTCACTCACGGGATTAGGTGATCGAAGTTTCGGAAAGAAATTGAAAAGCACAATTTCATCGACAGTCGATCAAATTAGTTTGCTTACAATATTCAATTAACAGGAAACAAATTGAATGCGCAAAGATTGTTTTCTTACCGTTCAAACGAGTGAGAAGGAGTGTTCAACAGGCGATTTGAGGAAACCATCTTCGAGGTTCCATTCTGTTCTTTCGCTTTCTTCACTGAAAAAGACCTTTGATGTAATTCAAGGCCTGAAGGGTTCACCAAGGAATAACTGATCAACGCGTAGCAACAAGTTTCACTGAGATTTATTTCGATCTTGTTACGCTCATTCAATGAATACGAGCTGTTGGACCGTTGCGCTGGTTGTGGCCCGGTGCACATGCAGTCTGGCTTGAATAAGGGCTCCATAAGTGCAGGTAGTCTTACAAAAGGGTCCAAGTACAACGTTGTCACGTTTCTCGAGAAACTCGAGGCAGTGGCCTGAATAACAGCAACAGCGCCTGTTGAAGAGCAAGAGGGCGATAATAGTGTACCAAAGATACATGATAACGTGTATCGATACACGAGCCGAAGATCAACGACGAGTCACTCTGAAAATAATTGTCGTCGCGAAATGATGTTTTAGCAGGAAAGAGTTTCGAGCTGTCGTTTTCTCCATTTGAACTTCTACTTTTGCGAGAGAGGAAACGAAAAGGATAGGGGAACGGGGAGAAATTCGACGATTGCTCGAAATCAACGACTATGGGCCACAGAGTGATTCGTAATAAACAATGAAGTCTCTGAAGAATCGTTGCATCGTCCAACATCGTGCTTTAGAGATTTCCGCTTGAGAACGAAACAATTCGAAGATATTGGACATTGTTTGGAGATTCATAGATTGGATAAGACACACACGCGTGAAATATCGATCGATTATTGCGTAAAGGAGAAACGAGAGTCGTCAGAAAATGTCGCTCACCTCCACGGAGATTTGGAACGAAACCTTGCCGATGATTAATTCGACGCGGATCGCTCCCCTTTTAATATCTCACCCTGTACTGATGTCAAAGAGACACGTGACTTTCGCCGCTCAGGTGGTGCTTACACTTGTGTACATAACCGGTGTGATTGGCAACATATCTGCTCTAGTCATTCTCTTTCATCGTGATAAGGTAATTAAAAAAAAAAGAATTTGTTACATGATGTTACTTTAAAATTTAAAAAATGAATGGAAATAATGATCGATTAATCGTATTTATATATCGATAATGATTCATTCTATGTATTAGTAGTAGAAAAGAGAAAAGTTATTTATATTGTACTATTATCGGAATGTATATAAAGCATGAAATTTAATCGATAGTAATCATAGTGAATAATACTTATCTGTATACTCAGATAAATATTTGTTTTCTGTAAAAACAGAATTAATTATCGATGATTAATAGATATATATCAGTCGGATATAATAAAGAAATTTAACACATGATAAATTATTTAGAGAAAATAAGTCCAATATGCTAAAATAGTGAAAAGATGAAAATAATTCTCGGAAACGAAGAGTAACTAATACGAGCAAATAGTCATTATGTAATTGAAATAAATTGTTTCAGAGAAGAAATCGAAAACACTTGTTGATGTTACGTTGTCTGGCGATCAACGATCTCGTCGCATTATTAGGGATGCTGGTGCAAATGTATATCACTATCTATGTGGGCAGCGTGATATCCACTCGAGGATTTTGTTCTCTTCGCGTGGTGTGGAGGCTTTTCGGTTTATTCAGTGGTTGTGTCGCCATCGTGATGGCAGCTGAAAGGTGGCTAGCCTTGACTAGGCCCTTCGTTTATCAGAAGGTAAGTCAAGATCCTCGATAAACCTTTATGAACGAAGGATCAACATTAGTTTCGGTATTTACAACGGCTTATCACCAGATTTTTTTTTTCATTTTATGTTTCTTTTTTTTTTTTTTTTTCCTCCCCATCCTCGTATCTCATCTAACGTTTTCATATTATCTCGAACTAAATCCCTGTGAGTAATGGTTTTAAATGAGTGGTTAAAATAATATTATTTGAAAATAATAATATATGCATACCAGAAAGTGTTGAATTAAATTTTTATGCCGAAAAAGGTTTTGTTTTTCTCAACTGGCCATTGATATTCATGATAGCTTATTCTCGCATCGAACCTGAATGGGAATGTGGCGGCAAATATTTTTTGCAAGCGAGAGGCAAATAAATACGAGATGTAAATTAAAGTTTCAATTCATTTTTTTTAAACAATCGCTGATTTAGTTGTTAAAAATTGACGAATATTAGTTGCGAAAATTTAACTCGAAAATTAATAACAGTTAAATTTCATTCATTCACTTTCGTGAATCCTTTGCACAATTTGATGATTGAAACATCATACAAATTTGATGTTAGATATTTCGATATTCTTGATACATATTAGATTTTATTTAAATAAGAAATTTTATTCGTCATGTCAGAGATAAACAGGAGAAAAACGTCATGGAAACCTAGCCGAAACTAGCATCACAGTTTTTATCTATGCGTGATAAGATTCACATAGATGTATACATCTATTTGGTATGGACTTGACCCATTTTTTCAATAAACAATATTAATTGGAATTAGTACGAATTTAATTGGATTAATTCTTTATTCATATTGTTATATTATACGTGCAGTTATTAACAAGAATCATAACGTCAAACTTTTTAAGCCTGTCTCCATTGCAACAGTATTCCAGAAGAAGAATTCATCAATCTTGCCTCATAAATTAGAAATAAATTTCCAATTATTTAACTACTTTTACAATTACTTCTTTGTATATTTAATACGTCACACTATGATTAAAAAATTCATTCATAAGATTCTGAATATTAACACTGAAAGATCCTTCATTGAGGATATGAATCACGAAACACTTGAGCGCACTTCTTTCATAGAATATAAGCAATCAAGCATATTATTAGAAAATAATTAAAAAAAATATTACAAAGTGTCTTCTTATTTGCAACCAACGAATTAATCGAATTAATCTTTTTTTATCTCAAAAACAGTAAACAGTGCTTGGCTAACGGAATCATAGAGTAATCTTCCGTATTAAAATTCTTGAGAATCCGAAGATGTATCATCTATGGTATTGATATAGACACTACGAATATTAACTCTGTCACTTCGATGTAGCCAATGATCCGTTTGAGTCAATCTACCGCCATTTAAAACGCAGCGGAAACAATTATTTAAACCGACTGCGAAGCAAGTGCTTCTCTAATGCAGTTGGACTACCAAAATGTATATCCTGTTTGTTCTTTTAATCATCGTTCCATGTGTCTATTTACAATTCGAACAAATTTAATACTTGTAACGATCTTTGAATCTTTCGTTTCAAAATATTTAAATTATTCTTAGCGATTAATATAAATTTTGCAATTTTCTCCCGTACATTTGATAATTTAAATATTGCGGATAAGAAGTTTGATTAAATGGGATCATAGGTTATAATAACAGACGATACGAATGCCAAATTTCCCTCATATAGTGGTAATCAGCTTGACAACTTTCCAAAGTCCTTAAATTATTTCCGAGAAGAAGAGACAAGCGCGTGATCACGAGCAGCTAATTATTTCGCGGTTGATTAGGAAAAAATTGATTTCCATGTTGATACTGTAATTGTAGCTCGTCTTGGGAATAAGATACGTGGGTTTTTATCGTCTTTGAATACAATTGTACTGGTTGCGTCGCGATGAAAAATTCGTGACCCATTTTGTGACCCAAATATGGACACGCGTCGTGCCTATACCGTTTTCATTGTCATCATCAATCATCCATACTTTGTTCATTCAATATTTCATTATTTAAATAATATACCACGTTCAATTTTTATTTCGATATATTTTCTTAAAAATTTGAAAATAATGCGATAATATATTTATGCAATTCTTGTAGAAAATAATACGAGAGAAAGGATCGTGTATTTAGTTAGATTTATTAGCAAGTTTTTGGAATTACTCAACACATATCTTAATTCTTGGCAGATGGAGAAGATTCAGGGTCAGTGAAATTAATGTAAACCATATTTCTGCACCGAATGGTCATTCACTTCTTCTTTTTCTTGCGATATGTGTATCCACAATTTGAAAGAACATCTTCAATAATAATAATAAATAAGTAGAACTGAAAATAACTTCGTAAATTATCATATCACACTCTTACCCTTATCCTTATTAAATCATGAGCCACATTGTAGATATACAGTCACATTGTAATTGTCAATTGAAATAATTTTCATAAGTTGCAACCACTTATTCATACTTGTGTGTAAAGTTCCACGCTTATAACTCACAATTAATTTACTTCACTAAATAAATATGAATACAAATTTTCTTCATCCAATCAATATTTTTATACTCTTGATTCCTTGTTCACTTAAAAAAAAAAAAAAAAAAAAGTATGAGAACATGTTCACAACGAAACTTCATTCACTTCATTCACCCATACCGTTACATCCTTTCCAACCGTAAAAATAAACCACAATCAGTCGTTCGATTCAAAGAAGATTGAAAGGAGAACTAGGAAATCCACTTCTCTTGTTAGCATCTACCCCAAGGGGACACTTCTAATACCCCGAACGCCCTATAAATTTGTAACACGATAGATTTTACCTTTCGAAACCCGATGGAGCGATTTCATTCAAGGATATACAGAGAAACGATGATTATAAAGTCGACGAACCATGGATTAGTAACGTTCGAATGCGCCTGGATCGGCTCTCCTCTCTATACCAAATATAGCTTGAAAATCTCGACGACATTTTAACGATACTTCGGCTTCACTTTAAGTTTGATAAAAATGTAGAAGAGTGAAAATGGCCAGGCTTCCAGCCAAAGTAAACTGGATCGACGATTGGGCAATGCGTAAAATTATCTTTCGATGATTTTATGCGAACCTCTGTCTTCGAAAATGAGAGTGTTAACGAGCTCGTTGAATTATGTTCGAGGCGGATACAGAATGTACAGAATCGACGAATAATTTACAGTGTGCATTTTCGCGAGGAATTAATATTTCGTTTCTTCCTCCTAATTTCTAATTTTGAACAGAAAGATGTTAAAGAATTGATTCACACCTAATCCATAAAATATATTACATAAGATACAAGATTTGAAATTCCTTACAAATTTTTGCGTTCTTTACAAACCAATGAAATGTATGAGATTTAAAAATTCTGAATTATGACGTCTTAAAATTTTTTTTGGACTATCTTAGGGCTATTTTTAGCAGCCAATTAACATGAGAAGACGTGTCCTTGATACTTTAAGCGTGGGAGAGGAGAAAATTGTGAGGTTAATATAATCTTATAGAAAGTTGTATGCTTGAATGATTTGTTAAAATGATTTTGTGAATAACAGTATATATATTATAGTAATTAAAAGTTAATTATATTGTTAAGTTGATATACAATAGTGTTGTAACGTCATATACTTATCTTGTATTACTTTCGATAATCATAATTAATTGTTAATAATATATAGATATTATTTGATATTAATATCTTTCGTGTAGGAAAATTCATATATTTTTTTATATCATATCAATTAAAAAAAAAAATTCAATCATAATTTCTTTTTAATTTTGTGACAGAATAGCAATGTTTGAACGATAAAATGTTACGGATCACGTTTGTTATTTATTGTTGAACATGCTTATCCTGGTTATCTTTATCTAGCATAACATCTTTTCTTTCTAAAGGGAATTTATGATTATGATTCGTGAGATTTTCGCTTGTATTGAAATAAAGTATGTAGTCAAGTGTCTACATTCTCATACAAAGGGGAAACACAGCTGTGAAAATTCGTTTCCTGTTGTTAACTAGGTAAATAGACGATGTTTTTGCTCGTCTTCTCTCCGTTAGCTTCATCAAAAGAAAGAAATTATTTTACATTTCTTTGATTTTAATTAAGAAGAAGAAAGAAAATAAAGAATTACTTAACTTTTCGATTTGATTCTTTTATATCATTCACAGTCACAATATTAAATTATAATCTCAATTTCTTATTAAGTATCTATTATTTTTAAAAAATATTGATAAATAGAGGTAATAAATATTCATATCTTGTATATAGAGGAAAAAAAAAATCTCCAAACATTTCATTATCATCTAAGTTGCATCATCGAAGAAAGAAATTATTCAATCCTCATCTTCATATATTTCAAGCTTAATATTTGTAATACTTATCCAACTTCCCGATTTCAGTTCCTCTTCAACAATATTTTCTTCGATAGAAAAACCAAATTAGACACTTGTTGATCCATCTATCTAATTCAAAGTTTTTAAATTTTTTCTTGTTAAAAACCTCATGTTATTAATTCTAAAATATCCGAGATATTTCCATTAAAAATTCACTTATTCTGCAAATATTGAAATAATATTAGCTAAACAAACAATTTATCGTATGGTCTTGAAATTGAAAATTTTTTGTCGATAAAAGTGACAGATAAAAGTGACAGAAGCAAGAGTATAATAAAGAGAATACGATGCTTGTACAATTACAGTGTTTCTTTTCTTCTTTGTTTTGTCTACGTGTCAAACACGTTCAGTTTCTTCTGTGAATAGATCTTGTCCTCCCCTGAAAGCACTTAACCACCTCCGCAAAAGAATAACGAAAAATCCTGAGTGGAAGATTTCATCCCTTCATTTCTCGAGAAACACATTTATCAGGTTTGTGAGGGGTGATATTCTTACCTTTGCTTCATACGTGGATATAAAGGTATATGATATTATACAATAAATAAATCAACCTGTTAATAATCTTTCGTATGAAAAATAGCGGAGAATATAAAAAATATGTATCATTTCTATGAATATATTTGAATATACTGTAGTCTTCTTATTTATAGTAGCTTATTTATTTATTTCTTCTTCTTTTTAATTGGATTTCGCGTGTTTGAGATGAGTGAGAAGAATTATATCATAGCATGAAATAAGCATCAAGCACTAAAAAGAATTTACAGCATTCCAAATCAGTCAAATAAAATTGGATGTACAAGAATGATTCTACTCGATAAAAGATTTTTGGAATCAATTCCAATAAAAATACCTTAGTTAATATATTTATCTAAAATTTTCAAATAACTATACATTATGTTGTTTGACAAATACAAAGAATAGAGAGAAGATCAATTCACCAATACCAAATAAAAATCGAGTATTTCATATATTCTTTGTGTTATAATAAAAAATCAGAGGACTAAAAAAATTCTAGAAATCGTAAATGAATTTTGTGGTTTAAAATTTAAAGAAAATATTTTCCTAAACGGAAGATTATCTTTATATCTCTTTAAGATTTTCTCTGTTTGTTCTACTTTATTATTACAGATCAAATACTTATATCAATCTATTATTATGTCAAAACAAACCTCTTCCAAAGATGTTCTTCGTCGGAACATAAATCTCAAAGTAATATATTCACCAGATAACAAATGACGTGATAATTTGCACTAATTTTTAAGTTTGACTTAACGATATAGAATTTCGTTCTGCAAATAACGAGTCGTGCTTTGTTTGGTCTTCGAAGATCACCCATTCGATGACGAAACTTTTCACGTAAACAATGATATCATGGGATTCCTTTTCCCGCATTTTTCTTATATCCAAGATATCTAAAATAAGATTTAAGATAGTCAACAACGTTTCAGATCAATGATCCTGGAAGTGACGCAAATTAGAAGTTCATCTATTTTGAGATGCACGAGTCTGGGATAAAAACAAAAATATGTATAAAGTTTGATCGCCATTCATAAATTTTTGCCTGGTTTTTGATCTTACAGCGGATGACTCTCTGTATTCAATTGCTCATTATAACAATCGTTGGCGGTCCATTAGAATCGAATCGATATTCTTTGTCTGTTTTTCGCCACGCGTCATCATCAAAGTTCATTGACTTTGCGTTGAGCAATGATCGATGAGATTCGTGTGTCGAAAATAAACACGTGGCTCGGTGTCTAATCAAAAGTATTATTTATTTCTATTTGTGTAATATGCAGCTGTTTCTTTCAATCAAAAAATTGCGCTGATTAGAAGTAGAAAGTGTGTATCTTTACGAGATAAATTTATACGTTTGTTCTTTTAGATGTATATTTATTAATTTGATATGATTAACGTTGTTACGTTTTTTTTATCTTGTTTTCTATTCTTTTGCTTGCAAATTAATATAACAAAGGAGAATTAGATTGTGAAACACCTATCTCTTGAAGGATCAATAGTAAATAGCAGAGAAAATGTATTAGCTTAGTCCTCTTCCAGCCCTCATTTAGCTCAATTTAATTCGTCCCTCGACGTCAAATTGACACAATAATGAAAAAAAAAAAAATCAATAAAAAAAATAAGTAAATTCAAACTTCTTCATTGATTAATAAAAATATTAAATTTCTCTCTATTCGGGAATAAAACACAAATTGCATTATTCCTAAATAAAAGATCAATCTGAAGATTAATCTTTTATTTCAATATATCAAATTGACACGAATAGAATGGATAACGTTTAATTGCTACTCATTGAAGATTCTAATTAATTTATTTCTCACATTGGAAATAAAATATTATTCCCCGATTGTTGTGCTACTCAATCTGTGACACCCATGTGTGTTCTCCAGCAGGTGACGTACCCAATGATTGTACGTTGCATGCTGGTGCTCTGGTTGGTCGCTTTGGCATTGACAAGTATGCCAATGATGGGTTTTGGCGTGTATTACAAAGGTGAACGATGCGTACGATACAGAGAAGCCACCGAGCCAGCTGACATCGCCTACGCATATGTTTGGTTCGTTTTCGGTGAGTATAGAACATTATTGCGATCGATAAATCCTTGAACGTGTCTCGACTACCGTATCGCAATTTAAACGCGGCCAAACCTTGATTATTGGAACCTTTTTCCCTTGAATCGTCAATCATCAACCACATTCGTTTCACAAGGAAATTAAAAAAAGATTTATACCTTGTAATGATAATTTTGTGTACAACTTGTGTACAAAAATTAGTTTCGAAACTTTATTATATTCAGTTATCTTATTGATTTTCCTTTTTCCTTTTTAAACTTTTACAAAGGTATTTAATTTGACGAAAATTGATTGATTTATCTTGTAAATATTAATGGTTCTTAGGTACGGGCCTCTGCCTGTCGATAGTTTGGTGCAATCTGGCCGTTTCCAGGGCGCTTAGCAGGCTAAGTCGCAAAGCTGGCGTCCTCAGACGAGTAACGAGATCCTCCTCGAGAGCGAAACCACTTTTGACAGTGACGGGGCCAGCGCCGGAAATCGTCACCACCGCCGAGGAAAGGGCATTCGCAAGATTGATGGCCGTGTTATCGATATCTTTCGTCGTATGCTGGATGCCGCAAATGGTAAGCGATCGATCGATGGAAGTAATTGATTGAATTAATTCCTTCCAGCCGGAACACCATCGCCAATTAAACGACGCTCGCGTCTTTTTGGCAAGCTAATTAGAATTCGTGAAATGCGCCACTTCCAATCCATCCGCTTTCGAATAGTTTGGATAAATACGTTCGTCCGTTAGAGAAATCTTATTATTTATTGTATTCTTTTAGTAGAAAAAGTAATTTAAACGTTTGGCTAAATTAAAAATTTGCTTGAGAGAAAGATCGAGAAAGATTGGTATTTTATAATTCTATATTTCAATTTATCAATTGTTACGATTGACAAATTCTTTCAATACGATTGTTTAGTTATCTAAATAAAAGCAGTGATTTTATATTTTCATAATTAACGACATATTAATGACATTTCGAGAAGGAAGTGTCTATGAAGGAGTTTCCGGTTCTTTTATGGAAGCAATAGCGTTTACGTGACGCGGTTGCTAGAGATTTATTTGATGATAGCATTTGCTCCTATGTCGTCGAAACATCGATAAAATTTGCCATCGTATCCGTCGTGACGAGATTTTAAAAGTGAATCGATATTTTTTATTCCACACCATGTATCGTCCTTAAAGTGCCCATTTAATAATTCGTGATCGAGCGATATTTAATTCAATTTTAACCCTTCTAGTGCGATTAATATGTATAACGTTAATTGATGTTAATTACTTCCTTGGATGAGGGAAATAAAAGGAACCGTCATGCTAATGTGGTTAAATATACCGATGGATCAGAATAGAATCTTTATTTAGCTTTGATTAAAGAAAGCATATATTTAAATATTTTAATAGTGAAGAGACGTATAAAACACCGTTAGAACTCATCGTTCTATAATATTAAGATCATTTTAAAAAATGAAAATAATCTTCAGGATATTTATAGAAATATTTTTTTGTATTATTCTCTTTTCAAAATTGTCCAGAAATATTATATATATATTTTTTTTATAAAATAATACCAACTCCAAGATTTTTCAATTGAAAATTTGTAAAAAGAATCAAAGAATTTTAAGTTTTCTTCAACTGAGTTCTTTCCAAGTTCAAATTCTGGATAATTGCATAAGAAAATTGAATAAAAATTGAATTACATTATTCAAATAGTATTTAATGAAGCATTGAAGAAGCTATAAGATTCGCAAATCGAGGATATTTCGTGTAATTCCGAAGGGATCATTATCATTGCTTCAAGCTCCCGCATTCCTGAATTTTTAATTCGAAGTAATCACGATGTATGTATCCTGCCGGCAAGAATACAATCGCCTCGAACAATGCACTCGGTGGTACGGCGGTTGCATACTCACGAGCATTCCCCCATTTCCATCTCCTTATCCGCTCAGCATCTTATTCCAAAGTGTTTTCCTCGCGCGACGTGTAAATTTCCCCCGATTCCTACGTTCCTACAAATCGAGTCGCGCGGTTCACGTTCGCGTTCCTTCTCTGAACTTTAGCAACTCGGGTTATTCTTCCCGTTCCTCGAGCAAGCGTACGAACGACGGAAAATAATGTAACGATTAGCTCGCGCAAAATTGCGAACGTGACGCACTTCCGGCGCCCAGGACGAAGGTTAAACGCGATTGATTTAGTTTGGAATATCGTCACGTACGATCGATAATGGTTTTGCAGAACAGAACAGGATGTGGAAAGATTTCGAGAAATGTCGAATGAAAATTTTCCACCGCGTTCTTTCATCGGCGACAGTGTATTTCTGTCGTTGACCTTTATCGCGTAGGTTTGATGTTGATACTATCCGTGACCGTGACACTTTTCATTCTACGTCATTTTTAGCGATGTTACTTAATTGTAAGGCTTGATTTCGAAATTGTTTCTCGATTTCGTAATTCGATTAGGAATTTTATTAATTAAAACGAATCACAAGTTATAAGATAATTGTCCTTATTTGTCGATTTAATAACACTCTTGGTATTTCATTATTTTCCATTAGAATAATTTTTTTTAAGATTGAAATAATTTGAATTCTTTTGGAAAAATTGCAATTGAAAATTTCAATGAAATCGATAGATGCAAAAACAAACGACGATCAAAACGTGTAAAAAAAAAATCTATATATTTTAAAGGATATTTTCTACCAAGCGATTGTATCATTAATTGATAAATTCACAATTATATTATTATTATAATTATTATAAATGAAGACTGGTTTCAAATGAATGCTAATAAAATTATCTCGTGCAATACGAGATTTGTAACTTTTGACAGCAACTGTCAATTGCTAGATCTATTATATTTTGTAATGGTGTTGCATCGGCTATCACGAAATAAAATCACTAATGGCGCATTTATATTCACCGCAAAAACCCAGTAGAATTGCAAATCTGTTAGAATCAAGTGACAACAATAGAAAGGCATTGGTTAACAAAAATTATCGCTGCTTTGTTTCGACAGATTTCCATTCCATTGGCACAATTCGCGATGCAGTTGCCAGAGAAGGCGATACTCGCGCGAAAATTGATTCGTATATTTCACCTGGCCGCCGACGTGCTCCTTTGCATTCACTTCACCCTGGATCCATACATTTACGTGTTGCTAAGGATGCCACGGCCGAGATTCCGCCTTCTCAAACCCCTGTGCAAGATCTGTTGGCCAGCAAGAAGCCGATCGAGCTCGTTCAATGGTGAGTCTGGTCAATCCGAAACCCAACTTTCGTATTTAGAGGAGATGGGAACAATTAGTCACGCAAGTGGGACCGATCGCGTAGAGATATGAGATTAATCGTGCGCAATATTTATTTCCTTTCAATATTATACGGTGTTAATTAACAATATATTAGCTTTATATAATATTTAATACTGTGTTAATAATAATACTACGTTAATTTTGTTAATATGTTAATTAGCTAATTATTGTCTTAACATTATTTTCATATTGAAATAAACAGAAGATGATACTCGTCGCAATTGCGTGACTTATTCTGCATTCTACAATCGAACCTTTCCAATTAACCATTGTCTTAATTTCGAAAGATCGAACTAAAAAAAAAAAAAAAAAAGTGAAGGATGGTTGCTCTATTTACTTCTACTGGTTTCCAAAGTGTAACATAACTTCTAAGTGTATTCATCCGAGGAATCACGTATTATACGATTGTCTAATGGCACGTGCAACGAGGAAATGAAAAGGTCAATACAGTAAAGATGCATAAAGGGAAGGATTATTTCATCTCTCGATGATTCCTTCGTTGTCTAGCTACAATCAAGGGACTTTTACACGAGACTTTGAATTGAAAATTGAATCGAATCCTTAAAAAATTCATCATTCGTTGAATCTTCACGTAACACATCATTCCTTAATCATTTTGTACTCTATCGTGACTTATAATATCCTCTCTATCGTAATCAATATTGCACTCGATATCCATTCCTTCATCTTCTAAACAATGTGATCTATTATAATCTATTTCTCTAATCTTATCATCCTTGATTCGTTGTAATTCATCCTCTCCTTTGCCAAAAGAAATTGAAAGAATAATTTTAATCTTAATCTTTCAAGATTCTCATCTAACGAATGATCTGAAACTTGTAATGCAATTATCATACCGATCAGTTTTTCCATAAATTAACAACTTTTGGCGTGGAGTGGTATTATTCCTCTTATCAGATCTTAGATTCAATGTTCATGATTCCATCACCGATTGAAATGGACTCTCTAACACCTGACAGGTACCACAGACCACCAGGGCAGCAGTGGTGATCCGTCGACCCCGATCACCGAGGCACCCTCAACACCCGTCAGCGAGGAACACGATCCTCCTTTAGTGGCGGTGTCGGTCTGAGACAGGCTTCAGCGAATGATCTTCCTGAAACGGCTCAAGAGTCACGATGGTAGCCAGGTTTGAGCTGCACACTCTTCGAGAACGTTGGAAGATCTTCGCTCGGTATACACGTACGATTAAACGAAATTCGATCGAGCCGAAAATTATTTACTCAAGGCACAGCAAAAATATCGAAATTATCGCGAAATTTTAAGAATTCTTGTTTTGGTTAATGATCAGAAGAGTATTTGATCCTTCGCTTTATTCTTCTTATTTTATTATTATTGTTATTATTATTATTATTATTAATACTCTTTCGTATCCTTGGATCCATTTTATTCATCTGGAAAAATTTAAAATTCCTTTTTTTTTTTTAAAACGAGACAAGATATATTCAAATGTGAAATTTCTTACCTCGAATGAATCCAAGGATACTAATTATTGTTCAAGTATCTCAATGGAATGGTTTCCTTCGAGGAATTTTCAAGATTATGCAGTGAATCCTTGAGGAACAAATCAGGTGCGTTGAGATTGATACCTCGCTGATTTTTCGTGTACAATTCACGTGTTCGAATGTTCTTGTTTCTTTTCTTCAGTTTCCATGTCACTGTATATGATCCATTGTACAGATCATTTTATCCGTTGTAATTTCATGTATCTTAATATTCTTCTTATTAATTGACTTTAAAAAAAAAAAGAAAAAAGAAAAAATATCACGTATCATACTTTATATTGAAAGTATTGCACAAAATTGCACAAAATTTGTAAAAGATATATATATATATACATATATCAAGTATCATGCATCGAAATTGAGATTCTTATTTTATTTTTTGTTACTGAATTGTATTAAGAAAGTAAGAGCAAACAGCATTCCAAAAAATTATCATCGCAATGTGTGATGCGTGTGTCGTATTTATCATTTGTTAATTTTGTAAAAATCCATCAAGATTCTATACAAAATACCCGATTCTAGTAAAATACAGAAGACTCTACTCGTTTGCAGTTTGCAAGTGAGAGTGAGTGTCGTCTTTTTTTTCAACCGGGTATTTTGAAAAAAGAAATTGTAAAAATCGACTTAAAATTTTCTTCTTACATAAGAGTATATTCATAATTAAAAATAATACCAATTAAGTTTATTAAGAAGTATATTTTAAGTAAATCTAAATCAACGAAAAATCATCAATAATGCAAGTATCGACACACATTTCTATCACAGTTGAATAAATAATGTCTAGTCAATAAAATAATGCAAGCGTGCAGTAATTTACGAATTATAAAAGAGCAAAGAATGAACATTTACCAAAGTATTAAATATTAAAGGCATATTTTTACCGTACAATGTAATTCCGTAAATAGAATTTAAGAAAGAAGAGCATTATATATATCTTTTTCTTTTCTATAAAGATATACACTGATAAAAGTACTTATGTATACAAATAGATTAATCAACAATCTTGTGATTAACATGACGTTACCATGAATTCTTACTGACTTTATCACTACAGCCAGTGTAACTCATAAATATCTTATCATTTTCTATTGTATCGATGTAATATTATTAATAAATTTTAATCATTTTTTTTTAAATACATATTCTAATATTCAAATTCAAATTTTTCATTTAAATAACGTGACGAATTCTACTTTTATCTTTCTGTCAATATTCAATTCTTATAAATAATCCATCTAAAATGATTTCTAAAGCAACAAACATGATTTTACTCGATTCTATATTTCGTAGAGAGAAAGAAACAAATTAAAGTGAGTGTGTTCAAACGTTGAAAAGGATGCACAGAAGAGAACGAAATAAGAATGGAAAGGAAGGAAGTACATATAATACAAATATATTTCATACGTAATTACGTATTCTCTTGCTTCTAGACACTTAACAACAATTAATCAATAACTTACGGGACGCGATCGTTGCTGAATACATGACACCTTTTATGTTTAGTTGTATTGCACACTAGAAATATACCACAGATTCATTCGTACACAGTATCAATCGGTGATACGTCTGGCGTACTTTCACGTATACCTTAAGTATCTATACAATAAATAATAATTCGACTTTTTCTTTTTTTTCCATTCCACTCGTATCCCATTTTACTCAATGATCTATAATATATCTTTGTTCAATTCCACACTCACAAAATACACAAATCGTAACGAAATTTCATCATTTGTATCATTCCTCGATTATGTTAACGACGAAACAATTGTCCTTTTCTCTCAATACAGGCATAATATATCACCAAAAAATCGTCCATTCCTTCGATGCACTCTTTTCTTCTAATGAAACGATCATCATCTCATTTCATACGATTCATCATCCCACCCAAGCACACGTGAGTCACTGATACTTAAGAAACGATATGACACCGAACATTGTCTCACGAGAAAATTGATTCTCACGAGGCGAACGCAAGGTCGAAGGCAAATATATCTCTCTTTTCTCAATTCTCAATTTCCGTTCATTCACGAGTTCAAACGCGCGAAAACACGTATATATGCCTCTCTATGATAATAGAAATCACACTGATAAACAAAATATAAGCCCCCGTACGTGGTCAACGATTTTCCACTAGCAACAGATTTTACCTTGTTTCGAATAGGTTTGCGAACAATGATTTATCACACGTACAGGTATGTCGACATTAATTATGTACACATCGAAAAGGTGTCTTTGTCTCTCTATGATGATCGTAGAACGAATCTTGTGATCGTTTTTGTTTTTTTTTTCGAGCCGTCGAGAGAGAGAAGTCGAATTCTTGATTGAATCTTTTTCGGCGGAATATCGATGTTTGATCAAGATGTGATGAATATTTGTACGATTAGAATTGAAGAGTGGATATGAAAAAGGCTATATGCATTGGAAATTGAATTAAAAATCTTATTTATCGAAAAGATTTCAAAATTTTTGTCTTAGTAAGTCTAAGTGTAAGTATAGTATTGTTAATTAATGGAGAAAGGAATTTTATCATGGTGTTTAAAGCCTTTTTCATTTCCAATCTTCAAGCCTCGAATTCATTAAAGTAATTCGAATCAGTCTTGAAGCATTTGAATCGTTCGTTCGGCTCTTCCATTAAAAAACGACAACAGATCTTGGAGACATTTCAACAAACTTTTATATTTTTTTATGTTTTTTTTTTTCATGCTTTTTTTTCTTTTTGCATATATATTTAGACAACACATCCATACGATTCTCTTTCAATTTTCATGATCGAAGGATGACAAATTCGTTTATTACAATATCTCTTACAATCAACAAACAGCTTCGTAATAATCCCCCAAAGTATACGTACCCTAAAACACCTAACTCCTTGGCTCCATGAGAGATCTAAAGTTGGTAAAATGAATGGAAGAAGATTCGTGAATCGACATTCAAAAAGTAATATCCGAAGTTGTAAAATGTCCTCGGTTTTTCAAACGAATCATCGTATTAAAAGTGCAAAATTTGAAAAATTTGCGATTCTTTCTTAGTTTATCAAGGAACCGATCGACGTGCGAATGCGAATAATTCTCGTGCGGAAATAATCAATTTCAAAAAATCAATAAGGGCGAAAGTGCGCAAATCGAAAGATACGATTAAATATCATAAAAATCAAGATCTCTATCGTGGAACGCAACACTTGGTCTTGCGTAAAAGACTATGTCAAGTATTTCGATATCAATTAATTATTGTCAAATACACTGTATGTTTAATTACGTATGATCGATACATCCTCGAAACGTTCAAACTCGTAAAAAAGTCAGATCATTACTCTAATTGTAAATTGAAGCGAATAAAACGCGCGGGAGGTGTATAAATAGCTTAATAACTATCGAGAAGTACCGTGAAGGTACTGCAGGGGAAACTATGCGAATTGGCCTCTCGAATTTTGTACCATTTAATACATATATAGACGAACAAAACAATTTTTCCTCGAATATAACCGATTATCGCGACGAAGAATTCTTTGAAGAATTCTTTTTTATTCAAATTGCGATTTATACAATCTCTCTTATGCTTTTAATAATTCTTTTCTTTTTTTTTTTTTCTTTTTTTACTTTCAATAACGTTTTCGCCCAAATAAAAAAATATCTATTTTTTAGGAAGGACGAAAAATTTTATCGAATACAAATTTCAATTTCGTCTCTCTTTTAACAATTGAACATTCATTCGATCGTTTCTAATCTCTCCCTTATCTGGCCATATAAATTGTAATTCCTTCGACTAACAATAACAACAATATTATCACGTTCCAATCCAAAAAATAAATTGATTCGTGACCTAGGTTAAATATTTATCCAGTCTGAGCTGCGAAGAAAGAAAAAATTTTCACTGGAATTCCATTAGCGATTAAACATGGAACACATTCTCTTACGATCGGTGAATAATTAATAAAACGTGTTATGTTATTGCGCGTCTACTACTTGTCGAGCGCGAGGCGTCGATCGATGGACAATGATAAATTCGTTTTGGCACTTTTAACTCGATTAGCTCCCTTCTAACGTTTGATTATTTTTAGGCCAATAGTCACGTAGTATAAGCTCGATTCAACGCTCTTCCAGGTATCGTAATTCATTTCGTTTCAATGTTTAATTCCAAAGTGTAATATTATACATTTGACGCAACAGGGATATACACTCGCGAGCGAATCAATACGCGTGTATACGATCACATACGATTCATCCGTATACCCTTCTTCTTTATTGAACATCGAAGTGTATCGACACGCTGAATCATCAGCCGACGAATTAAGTATCATCGAGAGAAAGCCAACTTTTTCTATTTCAAACCGGTGCAAAAGTACAAATTTGCGTGGAATCGATTTTCTGAAATCAAATACGAAATTCAAAACGATCAGATCACGTTCAAGCGATATCCATATCAAACTTTCACGGTTTTTGATGATAGTCTGAGCAAGTGAGGGCTTGAGATATTCGTCTGGTTTTGAGCTTGATTTCAGCGAACCGATTTTCAGTTCTGTCGCAGAACGATCCAGCAAGAATCGAATAAATTATATGGCAAAGGTCTGATCATTTAACGTCGATATTGACGTAAAGATCAGAGAGAAACATATCTAAACTGGTTCCACGACAGTTTGCTTCTTGGCACCTTAATAATAACGGACCTCCCTTATCCTGGTTTTGATCCACTCGGCCAAAATCAACCAGAGAACCTTCCCGCGTTCCCTGAAAAATCGTCGGGCGAACACGTCCTGAACAGTCACGATCGGACAATGACGGACCCGACTACGTGTGAATTGCACACGTAACAATGAATCCCACGGCATGTCGTGCCGATGCGAGTAAAATGCGGCCCTTACCTGTAAAATCAGAATTTTA